TGTTAAATAAAACAAACGCGATTTATATGCAAACACGTCTGTGTTGTGTGACGGTCATAATGCAAAGAGGAAGAGATTGATTTATTATCTTCTGTCATCATGATAGATTTACAAAGTGTCAAATGTCTAATAGAACAAAACGCATTTCACAATTTAAAACCTTACAACAATTTGCTTGCAGAAGACGACACATCTTTTTAAAAACTTTATAACATGATCGGAGAGTTGCTATTGCTAATCGGCATTGCATTAATTTCCTATGCAATTTATACTTTTATCGCGAATTCTTCACGGTATTTTGAGCAAAGAAATGTGAAATATAAAGGTATATCATTTACTTTGTCTAATCTGTACTCGATGTTCAGTGGAAAATTCAACGCCTTTGGACAAGCTCAAACACTCTACAATGCCTGTCCCGATGACCCGTAAGTATTGTTATGCTTTTATAACACGAAATTAAATGTATAGCTTTTGCTCATATTTTAGCGTTTACGGTGTATTTGATTTTTCAATTCGTCAGTATATTTTTCGTGATCCAGAGGCTTATAAACGAATCGCCATCAAAGATTTCGAATTTTTTGAAGACCACCGAGTACTTATTGATGAAAAAACTGATGCTTTATTCGGTAACAGTTTAATTGCATTGCATGGTGAAAAATGGCGTCAAATGCGAGCCACACTAAGTCCAGCATTCACTGGCAGCAAAATGCGTCTCATGTTTGCGCTTGTATCAGAATGTGCCGACGAAATAATGAAACATTTTTTAAAACAAACCGAAAATGGTGAAAAAATCAACATTGAAATGAAAGATTTCTTTTCACGTTACACAAACGATGTGATTGCTTCCTGTGCCTTTGGAGTTAAAGTAAATTCATTCACTCAACCAGATAATGAGTTCTTTTTAAACGGAAAGAAACTGATGAATTTCACCAGCTTTACAACTTCGGTTAAATTTATCATAACCCTGGTCATACCAAAACTGGCAAAACTCTTGAAAATTCGGCTCATTGATGCTACACTTTCGAATGATTTTAAATACATGATTTTGGATACGATGACAATGAGGGAAAACAACAATATTCATCGACCGGATATGATAAATATGCTGATGCAAGTTCGTGAAGGAAGCTTACAATATCAAAGTGAGGAAAAATCAAATGAAACGACCGAAGGATTTGCAACAGTCGAAGAATCAGAAATAGGAAAGATCAACGTAGCTCGTAAATGGAATGACGATGAATTAGTTGCTCAGTGCTTTTTATTTTTTTTGGCTGGTTTTGAAAGTGCTGCAACCGCACTTACTTTTGCCGCACACGAGCTTTTGATCAATCCCGATATTCAACAGAAGTTGTATCAAGAAATCGCCGATGTCAATGAGCAACTGAATGGAAAACGAATTAGCTACGATACACTTCAAAAGATGAAATATTTGGATCAAGTTGTGTCAGAAACATTGCGAAAATGGCCCATTGCCGTTCAAACCGATCGCACTTGCGTCAAGGACTATGTGTATGACGATGGAGAATTGAAGTTTGAAATTGAAAAAGGATCGAATATTCTATTCCCCGTTTACGGATTACATCACGACCCAAAGTATTACCCAGACCCAGAAAAATTTGACCCGGAGCGATTCAACGATGACAATAAACATGACATTTTACCAGGTACCTATGTACCATTTGGACTGGGACCGAGAAATTGCATTGGTAAATTACAGATTCTTATATTTTTACGACCAAATACATAGTTTTCTAATAAAATTCATCCAAATAATTAGGTTCTCGTTTCGCCTTGATGGAATTGAAAGCGATTTTATACTATTTGCTGTTGAATTTTTCATTTGAACCAAACAAAGATACCCAAATCCCACTGAAAATGAAGAAGGGCTTCTTCTTAGTAACCGAGAAAGGTGTAAATTTGGAACTGAAGCCAAGAAACCATAAATGACATCATCAAAGCACAAAATACAATGATTATATATAGTAATGTGCTGTTATATTTTTCAAATAAAAAATAAGTTCAAGTTATCATACTTTTTATGGGATTTGTTAATTATTTTGCCTGAGCTGATTCAAGTGGCTGAAAATATTTCATTGTCGGGACACGAAAGTTATTCTATGATCAATTTATCAAAGCGTACAAGTGTCAATCACGAAATGAAATAATTAGTTTTATTTTTATTAGTTCATGAGTGTCAGTGTATACATTTTAATTGACTGAAATTGCGTACTTCCAACTGATATCTACATTTGAAGTGTTGTGAACGTTAGTTTCAACTGTTTCACTTGTTTGTACATCCACATGTAGAAAAATGTATAATAGTATTCACAATATTGTGGTATAGTTTTTGAATGGGATATACTGTGATAATGTGTTGTGGGTGTTTGCTATACTTTTATTACGCAGTAATAAGTAAAAACAGCTGCATTTTATTTAGCTGTGAAAACTATGCAGAGCAGTGTACAAACGAAATGCAAAATTATATCATACATGCGCTTGTAACTCGTTTGTATTTATTTTCGGTGTCGTCATCATAATGCTCATACACTTGAGTGTGTGTTACAATTATTCCAATGTATCCATGACTATAGAACAAATGTTGGAAATATATTACTGCATTGTGCTCTTGACTGTTTAAAATAGAAGAAGTACGTTTTATAAAATGATTCCGGTATTGATATTAATTGTTGGCATTGCCTTTGTTTCATTTCTTACTTTTAAAATTTTCATAATTGACAATCGTTATTTCGAATTGCGTAATGTAAAATATAAAGGTGTATCATTCGCACTATATAATGTGTATGCGATGATTTCCGGTAAAATTGATGTTTTCCAATTTTCGCAAAGGCATTACGATGAATATCCTGATGAACCGTGAGTGATTCCTTTTGAATAGGTTCCATATCATTTCAAAAGAAATAGATAAAAGAATTGATTTCATTTTAATCTGACTGAAACAGAATATATGGCATAAGTGGATTAATTGGTCCGCAATATTTCGTACGTGATCCGGAGATATGTAAACAGATTTTTATCAAAGATTTTGATCACTTTGAAGACCGAAAAGGATTCATAAATGAGAAAGTCGATGAGCTGTGGGGGAAAAGTTTATTCTCATTGCATGGAGATAAATGGCATCAAATGAGAGCAACACTAAGTCCAGCGTTCACCGGCAGTAAAATGCGACAAATGTTTGAGCTCGTATCGGAATGTGCCGACGATATAGTCAAACACTTTATGAATCGAATTGATAACGATGAGAGAATCAATTTAGAAATGAAAGATTTCTTTTCTCGCTACACAAACGACGTCATTGCAACTTGTGCCTTTGGAATAAAGGTCAATTCCATTTCCAGTCCAAACAATACGTTTTATAGAAACGGAGAGACATTGATGCATTTCAATGGTTTCAAAAGAACAATGAAACTATTTGTGACGATGTTTTTTACGAAATTTTCACGATTCTTCAACATTAAATTCTTTGATGAAAAAATAACGAACGAATTCAAGGACATGATTTTAAATACAATGGAAATACGAAAAGAGAAAAACATTCATCGACCGGATATGATCAATATACTGATGCAAGTTCGCGATGGCATTTTGAATAGTCAAACTGAGGAAGGATTCAAGGAAGTAAATGACGGGTTTGCCACCGCAGAAGAATCGGAAGTAAAAAATACATTTGTTGGTCATAGATGGAATGACGATGAATTAGTCGCTCAGTGTTTGGTGTTCTTTTTAGCCGGTTTTGAGACATCGTCGTCTGTCCTTTCCTTTGCCGCCTATGAACTTGTGGCCAATCCAGATATTCAACAAAAGTTGTATGAAGAAATTGCCGCAGTTAATGAACGTCTTAATGGAAAGCGAATTTCTTATGATGTGCTTCAAAAAATGAAATATTTAGATCAAGTTGTATCAGAAACATTACGAAAATGGCCCATTGCCGTTATTATTGATCGCATATGTGTGAAAAATTACGTCTACGATGATGGAGATCAACTTAGATTCAAAATAGATAAGGGATCAAGCGTAATTTATTCACTGTACAGTACCCATCATGATTCAAAATATTACCCAGACCCGGAAAAATTCGACCCTGAGAGATTTAGTGAAGATAATAAACATAATATTATGCCAGGGACCTATGTTCCATTTGGAGTCGGACCGAGAAATTGCATCGGTAAATTATTGATTTTTATATACACTTGCGATATAATAAATGTAGTATCATTCACATTTTCAGGTTCTCGTTTTGCTTTGATGGAATTGAAAGCGATTTTATACTATTTGCTGTTGAATTTTTCATTTGAACCAAACAAAGATACCCAAATCCCATTGAAAATGAAGAAAGGAGGATTTGTGAACACCGAAAATGGTGTACACTTGGAGTTGAAATCAAGATAAAATTGAATTTATGTAGGGATGCTTTACTTTAGTGACAATAGGTGTACGGTAATAAAAGAGGTCACTTGGCTTAAATAAATGTTTGAATGTAAAGCTTTGTCAACCATGCATTATTGGCTTTTTCTCCATAAAACTATTATTGATACAGTTCATTTGTACACATATTTACTGTAATTAAATGCTTATATACAAAATCTCAAACAGAAGTAAATTTTCTTACTTAGGTATAGGTTTTAGCATATATGGTTATTGTGATGCTATCCATTGCAACTGTTTGTGTATAGTGTAGAGCTCTATCATACTGTCAATACCTCAATATCAATAGTCTATAATTCTGTTTGTTTTCGCTATGCGCCCTAGCATGTCTTAAGATGCAAATTAGAGATTGCTTTTGCGTCACAATTTTGTAAATAAGAAATACTAGTATATTAATTCTGTTTTGATGAATTTTCAGCAGTGCGAGAAGTTTACTCACTGATTATAAGATTCCGGATGTTCAGATACGTGTAATTGTCTGACATTGTCTGCCATTGCTGTTAATTTGGGTGTGAGTGTACAATAGAATAAATGCAATAATGTGTATTATTATAATTTGTAACTTCGTCCAATGCATCCGTTTAAATTCATTTGTTCGTTTGAAAATATTTCAAATAACGAAATTAAAAATACCGGAGCGCATCGGTCGTATTGGATCATACAATGTCAATGTTTTTCTTTAGAAATCTTACAGTGAATTTCCCGACGAACCGAAAGATCATCTTTAAAGAAAATGTCATTCTATTAAGTTTAATAATCTAATTAACCCTGAGATTTATTGAAGGGGTTTAGTGGCGTAACTAGGTTTGGGATTTAATTTAATAATAAATTTTAAATAAATAGCAAGCTCATTGAAAAATATTTACACACGATGACTAGTTGAGTTCACTGTTCATATTGAAGTGTTCCTGGCTCCACATCTCCACAATGATAAATGAAATAAATGATTACAATCATCGTACGGTTTGCGCATGATATAAATTCTCTTAAACTCTTTGAGCAAATCATTCAGTCTTTTGCTTCACGAATGAGCGGACGTAGATCAGAAATATAAAAATGTTTGTAGAATTAATATTGACACTAAGTGTAGCATTATTTGCTTATGCAATTTATAAGTTTATCGCGAATGGTTCGCGGTATTTTGAGGAAAGAAATGTGAAATATAAAGGTATATCATTTACTCTGTCTCAAATGTACTCGATGTTCACTGGAAAAAGCGGGGCTTTTGGACAAACTCAAGCATTCTACAATGCCTGTCCCGATGTTACAAGACAAAATTACGTGTATACTTCTTGTAAATGAAATGTGTTTTAATAATTTGCGTATTTTTTAGCGTTTACGGTGTATTTAACTTTTCTATCCGGAAGCTTATAAGCGAATCGCCATTAAAGATTTCGATCATTTTGAAGACCATCGCACGATCATAGATGAAAGTACGGATCCATTAATTGGCAACAGTTTAATCTCATTGCATGGTCAGAAATGGCGTCAAATGCGAGCCACACTAAGTCCGGCATTCACTGGTAGCAAAATGCGTCTCATGTTTGAGCTCATATCAGAATGTGCCCACGAAGTAATGAAACATTTTTTGAAACAATTTGCTTCAGATCGGTAATTATTTTAACAATGAACTGCGGAATCAATATGTTTTTTGCCCGTGAACTAAAAAAAGAGAGTAACGAATCTGTCTGATTAAAAATATCGGCGCACAGACAAATTACTTGTAATTAAAATGTATCCATTCTTCTTGATGGATAAATTTCAATCAAAAAATCATTGTCGCAACGACTTTTTCCTATTTCGTAAAATGAAGTAGAAAGAAAATACGTAGAACTAGAAAAAAAGGTGTTGCCATTGTCGAACTTCGTTTGACGGCTTGAAATCGCCGCATTATAGTAGTGCGAAATAGATTCAATGTTGACTTGACAATAAGACTTGACTGAACCACATTTTTAATTTGTCCTCGTTTTTGTACGAAATACTGTTATTAAGTTTAGACCAATTTTTCGATTTTTTGTAAGACTTAAAAATATTATGATAGTTTAAAGCAACACAGAGCAATCCTTTCATTAAACTCTTTTGTTTTTGTATTTTTGACGGCAAAGAGTTTATTGTTGAAGGTTTCTCTATTCACCGTTTGCATCATCGTACAATTTGAAGGAAAAAAAACACCGAAGACAAAAAATCAATAAAATCAACACTATTCAAGCTTCATCAGTTAGTCCGTCGGTGATTTCTTGTGATTTTTTGCTCGCGACCAATGATATAAGAGTCCAATTAAATACATAGAAGTTGCTCTGGAATACACACAGTCAATTTCATTGAAAAAAAACAAAACATCAGTTTCAATCATTAAGAATTGGTTCTAATAAGCATTGGTTATTTGTAAAAAATCGTATCTTCAATTCGAAGCGAACGACACATCAACAATTATTTGGTGATTTGGCAACATTCAGAGGCTTGTACTGTTTGTAACGAGAGCAATGGAACAAACGAATACCGAATGTACGGTGAGCTTAAAACGTAAGTTGAGTATGGAAAGTGAAAGGTGTAGTGATACTCCTGAAAATAGTGAAATGAATCTCAGCAATAGTATGGAGACTGAAGAAGAAAACCAATTCGAGGTAATCACCTCAAATGAACATAGTATGAAAGCTATTCCTGCCGAAAATCAACTGCAATTCCATGTTCTGGACGAAATACAAGATGATGAAAGTGGTTCGGAAAATGGTAACAACGATCAAAACGGTAATAAAAATTACATTATTTCAAAGCTAAATTTTTAAAAAATGGTTATTTTAACTGAAATATCATAGCGATGGATTCAAGCGATTTCGAAGAAGATGAAATCAACATAGATAACCTATTGGACGAACAATTGCCCGATGATTTGCGAGAACGGAAAAAAGCGTACAAATACGAGGAAAACTCAAAGCTTGTTCTGGAAGGTGAGAATCAATGTTCTTTTGGTGCATCCCGCATAGTTCGATTGGCGGCTTATCTAAATTTGTTTTTACTTTAGAAAAGGGTAGAAATCATTTTGAAGTATTGCCGGAGGGATGGATTCAAGTGACACACAATAGCGGCCTTCCCATTTACATGCACAAACTAACACGTGTATGTTCATTATCTCGTCCATATTTTCTCGGACCAGGCAGTTTACGAGTATGTATTTCTTTTAAGCTTTTTTTGTTTCTTTTGATGAAATAAGCTTTGTTGTTTTTCTCTGAAATCATCATTATTTAGCTGCGATAAAACGTAATTGATCAAAGTACGGTATGTTTGTAGGGTATTAGATTTTTTTTTTTGAATCAACATATCATCAAATTGATTGGTTGACTTAAACCACAGCTAAATAGTGAGATTAAATAACAACAAAGAGGAGAGCATAAGTAATCCACATGGATCTATACGCATTGTATGGATTCATCTAAACTGATAGATCTATTTGCCGTTGATCGCTGGTCTTCAGCGTGTAAAATTGTTCAACAGAAGCTCAAATGTTTAATTGTATTGATAAGGAAATGTTTTCTACTCCAGAAACATCAAATACCAGTGAGTGCCATTCCATGCTTAAATTACAAGCGGGCGCTTGAAGAGGAGAAAAAATTAAAGGAAAACTGTGACCATAAAAACGATGTAACGATGAATGAATGTGAAAATGAATCCGTAAAAACTAAAAGTGTAAACATAAATACATCATCTGGTTGTCCATACGCAAAGGGTGAAAGTGCTGTTGAAAATGATGTAGAGCCAGTGACATCGAGCGAGTCACACAAAGAAGATTCATTTGTGGCACCAAAACCACTAGAAAATTGTTCACCTGTGTCATCAACCGGGTCAAACAAGTCAAACAACGATTATAATCCACCAGCTAAAAAACCACGTGTACTCGGTGCCATTGCCAATGCAAAAATTGAAACCGCACATGAAAATCTTGAAGCTCAATCGCTTACAAATGAACAGCTCATCGACTATTGCTCCAAATTGTTCCAATTTCGAAACATTCGTGTCATGCGTTTTACGTGAGTACATAATGGAATTGCTACTATAATAATTCGATGTATAATTAATGTGTGTATCATTTATTACAGATCATGGTCAGACCGGCGAAAATTCACCAAACATAAAAAGAATATCAAAAATTTGCAACGACCCACTCTTCCAGAAGGCACCAAGTTGATCACATTTCCAATCATTGCAAATGACGATGAAAAAGATAGTCGCGTTAAAAAAGAGTACATCATGAATCCAAATAATAAAAGTTATATTTGTATTCTGCATGAATATGTGCAGCATGCATTGAAAAAACAGCCAACGTATGAATTTAAAGAGTTGGAAAATTCGACCACTCCATATTCGGCCACTGTGTCAATCAACGACTTGAAGTATGGTGTTGGATACGGTTCAAGTAAAAAACAAGCCAAATCTGAAGCTGCACGAGAAACTTTGGAAGTTTTAATACCAAGTATGCGTGACAAAATTTCCGCCGAAAAAGCAAGTGGCAACAATAAACAAACTGTACAAGATTTTTCGATGTTCGATGAAATAAAAATTGAAGATCCGCGTGTTGCTGAATTTTGTACCAAAACTACGGAACCATCGCCACATGCAATTTTATTAACCTGTCTTCAACGTAACTACGGTGTAGGCGATATTAAAATTGATTATCAAGTCAATCCCGGTAGAAATAAGCATAACGAATTCACCATGACGGTGGGAAAACATAAAGTAACTGTCAACTGTCGTAACAAACGTGATGGTAAACAATTGGCCTCACAATCCATTTTACAAGCAAGTATCATTGATCGAAGACAAAACATGGTTCATATTGTGACAATTATTCTAAAAGATTTGCATTTCAAATTCACAGATTTTGCATCCACATATTACAACATGGGGTTCATTGCTTCGCCTGTACGGAAGTAATTCAGTCAAAAGTTTCAAGGAGAAGAAGCAAGAAGAACAGGAAATTACTGTGTTACAAAGTCGAGCTGCTATAAACCAGCCAAATTATGCCATTTTGGACAAGTTAAAAGTCGAAATGATGAAATTAGATTCAGAACAACAAAATGTACGGCCACTTGGAAAATTCACTGCACCGCCAGATATAAATTTACTTGCATCTAGTTCAAATCTTGAATTGTAATAAGTTCCAATTGGCTTTGTTTTAAACGATTGCATTTGATTCGCTTTAAAAAATCCATTTATGATTGATTTTATCTAGGATTTTATGATGATATTTGGACAAAGCCCCTAGACTTAAAAGTCGTAAGTAGTAGGAAAAGGGGGTTTCGTGGACAACTCTTGCGTCAACCATGCGGTAGCAGTGAAAGCGCGTGCGTCAGCCAGAGAGCGAAGCTGTATGACACATTCCCTC